GAAGAGCTCGTCGGCGCCTAGACCGGAAAGAAGAACGCGGGAGGAGGTTGTGTAGATGGGTGATGGCGTGTCTGGGGTTGGGAGTTGGGCTGAGGGGTTTGTTTGGGCTGTACCTTGGCCGCGGGATGCGAAGTACAAGGCGCATGCGATGGACATGTCCATTTCGGTGTTGTGGGGTCTCATTAGGCGCTTGACTTGGTCCCGGTGTGCGAGTGTCTCTGCATAGGGAATGTCGATGGCGATGAAGCGCCATGTGCGGCCTGGACAAGTTGCTTGGAGCTCGATATGGGCGGAACGGCCGGTTATCCGGTCTGGGCAGTTTTCGTAGATGGAGAGGGGTGGTGTTGAGGAGGGGGATTTTTGTTGGTTTGCTTTTGCGGCTGCTGCCACTCGGGGGTTTTCGAATGCTACATTGAGGAGGTCGATTGGTTCGTCCAGGGGGAGAATGTCATGAGAGAGTCTGGCGAGAAGTGTGCAGTCTAAACCGCCGGAGAAGAGAACGGCTGTTTTGGCGGTCTGGCCTGCAGTGTATCCTGGAGGCTTGGGGATGTTTTGTATTCTCAATTCGAGTGATTGACGCAGTCTTGACTCGAGCTCCTTGACGAATACCGAGTCTGTTGTCAATGCAGGAGGCTGCTCTGTTGGTTGTGATGTGTTCATAGGTGGAATTGATTTTCTCTTTGGTCTCATATCAGTTGTTGCTCCCAGGGAAGATATGAAGGACATACAATATGATCAGCTGGAGGTGAAGTAGCAGAGCTCCATGGCATGATCTGAATTTGGCACAACTCTCTGGGAGATAAAGAAGGATCTTGATAGCGAGCTAGGTCAATCGTACAAACGCCTTCAGTGCCCACTTCCTTGAAGCAATCCACCGATGCACTGTCACAAATGCTGCAAATCTTCAAATTCCCAATTTCATCGAATCCCTCGAGGAGAGATCGCCTCCCAAGACAATCCCTGCTGTAGAAGAGTCTTGAATTGACCGCATCATAGAAGACAAAGGCAAACGGCCCAGAGAGACTTGCAATCGCTTCCGCCATTATTCCAATGGAATCATTCTGATCCCTTTCCATTGCCTGTAGAAATAAGTTGAAAACGCGTTCAGTATCATTGCCTTGGACGCGCTCCCCATCGATCTTCCAGGCTTCTCCGTTCCAGCAGAGCACAGACTGGGTTGTGGGGTCTACAAGTGGCTGTGTGTACACATGGTCACCTCTTAATGAAAGCACTGTGGATGTGAAAGTGAGATAATAGGAAAGGGGCGGAGACACTCCATCCTGTGCGTTGATATCCTTTTGCACCGTATGAGTTTTGTAGCTGTCTGGTCCTCGCTGTTGGAGCAGAGTGCAGGTCTCCTGTGTTGATGGTGTGGGCTTTGATGAGCTCAACGAAAAAAAGATCCCACACATGGCGGAGACACAGGGTGGGAGTGTTGTTTATTCTGGGATGGTTAGCTTGGTGGCTTTTTTTTTGGATATATTGCTGCCTGAGGCATTGAGGCATTAGTCACGTCTATAAAGCTCCAGGAGGGGGGCCGTGAGGTCTTATTACCAGCTGATGCACTCACATCGGATTGTAAGATGTTGAACTCGTAGATTGGTGCTTCTCGATAGATAGTAATTGTCCCATAATACTTAGGCTCTTCATACTTAGGCTGACCTTGAAATCAGCGAAAGGTAAACAGCACCTATCAAGGTACCAGGTTGAGCATGTTGGAACTACATGTAGGAACTAAATTGATATCTATTGCCGATTGACAACTCCATAATGCTGTATCTATTGATACTTTTTTCTGTTACTCCAATCTCATATAAAATAAAAAAAACACCTGGGCACTCATTCCTCCATACATCGATGTAGGCTGGATCAAGAAGCGGACTACGTCGGTTGAATGATGATCCGTACATCAACATGAGAGAGCCGCATGAGCATACTTGCAGCCTTTATGACCCCCTGAATCTATCCTTTTTGCCCAGGCGCATATGTTAAATCCAGCTTATGTCGGCCACAGAACCCCCGTCCTCTCCGGGTCCCGAGACGAGAGACGTCCCCCATATCAATGAATCCACCGAGACGCCGGCCACTCCAACCGATCTCCTACCCCAAACACAGGACGATATCGCGAAACCAGAGAGCAGTCAAACAGTCCAAATGAGTGCACAAGAGACAACAAAGCCACATGTCACGGCTGCTGTCTCCGATCCCGCGGCGATGGACTTGATGACAGCTGCCCAACCATCACAGGCTGAGCAGCAACAACTTGCGGGGCAGATAGAAAGACTGTCAGTCTCAGGAAAAACATCTTCCAGTCTGTCATCCAGTGCAAATACTCCTCCGCCCCCTCCGCCCCAGAAGGACGATGCCTACCTCAACCTCCACGCAGGCTCCACGACCGCTCCGCCAACACTACCCCCCATCAATACAAACCGGACCCCCAGCCCCGAGAAAGAGCTCCCAGATGTGCCTAGTGATAGTGACCCGGACACTAAACGAGGTGTTCAGGTTGAAGGGCCTAAGGACGATAGTGCCTCCCAGCCGGAGATTCAGAGTATTATGGGACAATTCCAGGACCCCGCGCGGAGCACCGACCAAAAAGAGATCATGTCTCCACGGCTCGAGCTTGCTGAGCAATTCCGAAGTGCTCCAACATATTTCCCGCCACGCAAATCTAGTTTGGACCATGCGCCTTCCACCGAGTCCGCGGGTTCTCCGGTCGCTACATCCCCGGAGAAGCAGCCTGTATCCCAACATCCCCACAAGCCCGAATCGCCGGTATCAAACCGGCGAGCGTCCACCTCGACGGTCCTACCATTGCCGGAACCAGAGTCTGACCAACCATTCGATTTCCATCGCTTCCTAGAGCAGCTGCGTCACCGCACCGCCGACCCTGTAGCCAAGTTTTTGCGGTCGTTCCTCATGGAGTTTGGCAAGAAGCAATGGATGGTCCACGAGCAAGTCAAGATCATCAGCGATTTTCTGACATTTATCACAAATAAGATGGCCATGTGCGAGATCTGGCGAGATGTATCGGATAGCGAATTCGATAATGCCAAGGAAGGCATGGAGAAACTTGTTATGAATCGACTGTATTCGCAGACTTTCTCCCCAGCCATTCCAGCCCCGCCAACAATACCTAGAAGTGCAAGTCGGAGCCGACGGAGGGAGCTAGAGAGGCTTCATGGGCCGTGGCGACGTGGCCAGCATCAGGAGGACATTGAGCGAGACGATATACTGGCCCAGAAGATTCGCATTTACGGCTGGGTCAACGAAACGCATCTGGACATCCCAACTGTCAGCGGCGGTGGACGCCGTTTCTTGAATCTGGCACAGCAAGGTATGTATCATGAGCTATCTTGAGATGTTTTCTGACTTTGCTTGACAGAAATATCAAAAATCAATGGCTATCGGGCTCCCCGAGATAAAGTCATTTGCATTTTGAACTGCTGCAAAGTCATCTTTGGTTTATTAAAGAATTCCAAAAAGGGCGACACATCCGCTGACTCTTTTATCCCCCTCCTGATCTATGTGGTTTTGCATGCAAACCCTGACCACCTTGTTTCTAACATTCAATACATTCTTCGATTCCGCAACCAGGACAAACTTGGCGGTGAAGCAGGATATTACATCTCGTCGCTGGTATGTTTGACTTCTACACTGCCCTAGATATTCCAAATTGACCTCTATTAGTCTGGAGCCATTCAATTCATCGAGAGCCTTGACCGCACAAGTTTAACCGTCAGCGACGAGGATTTCGAACGCAACGTCGAGGCCGCCGTATCCGCTATTGCAGAACAAAACCGCGAATCCGAAAGCTTTGAAGAAAAGCCCTCCACCCAGCCTCCTCCATCCCAACCCCAGGCCGGACCAAGCCGCAAAGAAACTACTCAATCCAGTGACGACGACACCTCCGCTCCAGTCGCAGGATTACTACGCACAATCCAAAAACCCCTCTCAACCATCGGCCGCATCTTCTCCGACGACCCAGACTCAGGTTCTGCCGCATCCCAAGAACGCCCCCAGCCCGTCCCGACGCCTCAACCCGCTGTTGCTCCGCCCCGTCTCACCCCGAATGTCTACCAGCCTCCTCGCGCAAGCAGCGAGGACAGTAGGCGGTCAGGCGATGAGCGCGTCCACTCAACCCACGGTAGCGGAACCTCCGCGAAGAAGAATCTTACCCGTGTACTCGACGCTCAGGACGCCGCTGCGCGCCAGGCTAGTGCTGAAGATGCAGAGGCGCGCCGAATCCAACGCGCTGAGCATAATAATGTTGTCGAGACACTTTCGAACATGTTTCCTAACTTAGATCGTGAACTTATTGATGATGTCGTTAAGATGAAAGAGGGGAGGTGAGTACTTCCTGCCCCTGGGGACGTTTGAATGTTTTATTGGGCTTCGACTAACTATCCCTTGTAGGGTTGGCCTAGCTGTTGACGCTTGCCTTGCTCTCAGTGCAGAGTAGTATATAGAATAATGTAGCATCTTTGCTTGTTCGGGAATATCATGTCAGGAACAGTCCTAGCAGCAATGCTGTCTTTCTCGCCTTGAAATAAATTAAAACATTGGTGTTACGTGCCAGTTCGATTAACAAGAAAGAGTGCATTCAACTAAAAAAGCAAAGATAGGGAGAAAAGAGAGAAGAAGCACGCAAAGCATGCGGTCACGTAAATCGTGACAAGAGGTATATTTACCTATTCGACCAAGGGCAGGGTGGTTATCCGATTCAAACCACCGTAAGTATTAATTATTGCAGATGACCCAAATATCCTATTTAATTAAATTTACATATTTGTATGTAGCTAAGTATAAGCTGTTATGAAAAAAGGAGATGTCGGCAGTTGAAGAGAGACGAATGCCTCAAACCCCAAAGATCCTCGGCTCGTTTCCCCGCAAAACCGCGGTCTCTCGGAATTTTACTAAGCTCGTCCCTTGCATCTTATAATAATTCCGAACTGGAATAAATACAATCTCTTATCTCTCAAAGGACAGCATTGCACACCATGCCATCCCCTTTCCGCATCGTTGAGCATGTCGTGCCCACTCAGCACATCAGGGAGTATCCTGGAGCCACCGCCAATGACCAAGAAGAGCCCTTACATCTGGCTGTGAAACAATATATACCACTAGACAATCCCAATCCACAACCAGGTGATATTACTATCCTTGCTGCCCACGCGAATGGCTTCCCCAAGGTATGAGATACAAAGTGCCGAGGCCCAGAGCCGCCAGACCCGCTTTTGGAGCTGTGCGCGCATTGCGACGGCCTTCGAAGTATAGAATCGACGGTGTACTGATCGTTTCTCGCAGGAACTATATGAACCACTTTGGGAGGAAATCCATGCTCGTTCTAAACAGAATGGGATACGCATTCGCGGTATCTGGATGGCCGACGTGGCGCATCAAGGCCAGAGCGGCGTAATCAATGAAGATTCCCTCGGAAATGATCGTATGTAATGCAAATGTCTTATGAGAAGCAATTATGATGCTAACTTTATTACAGCTAGCTGGTTCGACCACCCCCGAGATCTCCTCCACCTAGTCAATGTTAAGCGGGCTGAAATGCCTCGGCCTATCGTTGGCATCGGACATAGTATGGGAGGTGCTCATCTGTAAGTTCCAATAACCGGAGAATTCACGCAGCAGCTAGCTAATATACTCCCTAGCATGCAACTGAGCCTAATGCACCCCCGACTCATCCACACACTAGTCCTCCTAGATCCAGTGGTCCAACGCCAAACCACGCAACTAGACGGTCTCATGCTTCAAGTAAACAAGCGCGAGATCGCCAAAACAACCCAACTATCAACCCACCGGCGCGATATCTGGCCCTCCCGTCAAGCTGCCGCAGAAGGCTTCCGCCGCAGCCCCTTCTATCAAACCTGGGATCCACGAGTGCTATCCCGCTGGATCGAGCATGGCCTGCGTGACCTCCCAACACTCATCCACCCGCTAGACTCCAAGACCCCGACAGACAAAGCCACCGGTCCCCCAGTAACCCTCCGAACCACACTGCACCAAGAAGTGTTCACTTTTTCGCGGCCAAACTACACGCACCCCCTGAACAGTACCAACCCTATCAACCGCGTAACACACCCAGACCTAGACGCAACTCACCCACACACCTACCCCTTCTACCGCCCAGAGGCAGCCCGCATCTTCTCCCAGCTCCCATTCCTGCGCCCCAGCGTGCTGTACATCTTCGCCGGCAAGTCGGATATGTGTAACCCCGCCATGCGCGCCGATAAGCTCGCCAACACTGGTACCGGGCTGGGCGGTAGTGGCGGTGTTGCTGCAGGCCGTGTGCGTGATGTTCTCTTCGAGGAAGCTGGTCATCTTCTTGCCCAGGAGGCTGTGAATGAGTGCGCTGATGCAGCGGTTTCTTGGCTTACGCCGGAGATCGGCCGTTGGCGCGCTGAGGAGGAGAGTTTCCGCGCGGCTTGGAGTCAGAAGTCGAAGATTGAGAAGGCTACTATTGATGCCGAATGGTTGAAGCATGTTCCTGCGCCGCAGCGAAGGCCGAAGAAGGTTCAGAATGGGGAATCGAAGCTGTAAGCGGGTTCATATACCCCTTTGGTTTTGTACCTGCTTCGTTTTCTAGCGTCGGGTATAAGTATAAACAATGTATAGTCTGCTTTTGCGGATTATGCTAGCGCATATAAATATAGAATGTTCAAGTCTGCATCTGAATGTTTTTCTATTGCTTTCAGATCCTATGGGTGAATACGCCGAATCAACAATCATAATACTTCATAGACCCGATTCCCATCTATAGCAATGACCCCACGCGCCGCCTGGTAAAAAAAGAAGAAAAAGGTATCGTATATCTATGGTCCAAAGCCAAAAGATCCGTCTCCGGGACGAATTGTGTTCGTGAAAGCTATGCAATAACAACGCCAAGGGGAAATAAAATCAGTGCTCTGCTCCGAGTCTCGCAGCAAAGGACAGACAGGAAGGAGCATGGTATCTATTTCAGGTTATGTTGAGGGTCACGTTTGCAAGAAGTGTGGTATATCGCCACCCATAAACAACGATGGGTGCGAGTAATGAACCAGCTCGGGGAGAGAGGATGTCTAGGTGGTTGTTTCACGTTGACTTCTTGGCTCGGGATACCCCATTGTCGGATGGCCCACCCGAGGTGCGGATCACTTCGGGGATCTGCCAGAAGTGCGCCCAGCGCAGGTGGTATTCGTCTTGTCGGTCATTGAGGCAGTGGCGGAGCCAAATTCCCCACATGATATAGAGGTAAGCACCGATGCCAGTCATGATATGCCTGCAAGCAAGAATTAATTAGCAAACAGCCTAATGGTAAACAGTCCAGGCTTAACACATACCACCAGCCATGCCCCTCCAAAAGGATACCCCATGGAAGGCCAACAGAGCGGCGCATCCGACGGATCTCAGAGCAGAACACGTTATCCAAGTTCCAGATGAAGAAACCTCCCAAAAACATGCTCAGTCCATATATGACCATGAACCACATGGTCTTGAGCGTCTTCTCGTTGCGCACGTTCTCATAGTGCTGGCGCTCCTTCGTCGGAACGGGGAGTCCCTTCTTCTGGCGCGCTAGGCGGTCCTCCTCCGTCGAGTGGCGCCATTTGGGTCGAAGGGTCACTTCCATGGTGTACATGCTGCGCACGACTACGATGATAGTCAAGAGCGCGAAGGCGTTCTGGTGGAAGACTGGGTCTTGGAGGTAGTGGTAGTACAGGGTGATGAATACGGCGAGACCTGCCAGCGCAATTCCGAGACAGACACGTGTGGTGGTGGACCGGGAGTACGAGAATGAGGCGTAGGCCATAAGGCAGGTGGTATAAATCATTGATAGTTCGTCCACTAGTTGCATAGGATCTATTAGGTGGGTTCACCGGTCAGCATTGCTCTTGCGATTACTCATGTATCGTTTTAGGTATTATTGGTGAATGTCCACGCTTTAACCAGATCCTGGGCTTGAGAGGGGTATAGAGAGACTTGCATTTGAGGGTCGAGTGAAACAGGAAGCTCCCTGTTCCGACTACTAGGTAGCCAAGGAGGGCAACGGTGAAGATTTGGTCATGTCCATTGCGACGGCAGCTCCGTATGCCCTGGATTCCAAGCCACATGAACAGCAAATTCGTGAGTGTGTTGACAATCTCCGCGGCATACTCGGTGGCATAATAGTCCTGGACAGAGAATATATTAGTATGGTTCTCGTGTTCTCGTGTGGGCTTAGGCATCTAGTCGGGAATACACACCTCTTCGCACCAGTTCAAGGTAGAGGTGACGGGCTCCCAGTATCCGTCCTTTGCAGGCGGATATGGAAAAAAGGGTAAAGACCAAGACATTATGCTGTACACCAAGGTAAATAGAGATGTTAATGTAATCTGTCTATAAGATAAGTTCGAAGACAAAGGAAAAGAGAAACAAATACCACATGACGTCGATTATCGACGGACTAGTTGGTCTGTGCACTCCGCGAGTTGCCGGAAGCGGAAGGTTCCTGTCTATTTATTTACTCTAAACATGTAGATATTTACATATTGACATATCTGTTTCTGTCTATTATATGTTTGTGTTTATGCTTATGTTTCTGCATTGGATCTACAAAACAAGATGCATTACGTGTTGACTGCAAATGGTCTACATAGTACACAGAGGGTCCAAGAGCCGCATGATGATATGACATACGGTAGACATACTGTGTAGTTGGATTTGGAATATTAATACTATGAATTGTATACTATGAGCTAGTAATTAGATCAATAGTAAACTTCTACTCCATATATAACTATTGTATAATGGTTATATAAACCACTTTGAACATGAATCCTCCGTGTGGCTTATCGATAGTCATTGCTGACCCCGATGACTTCACTGTTCTCAACGTCTGTCCGTGACCTCGGCAAAGTCTACGCTTGCAATTACTGTCTACAATCTTGTTCCATTCTATTCACCCTCATTTACTCCCTGGTGGAATGCAAGCTGGTGCCCATCTTTGGCTGTGACCGTCTTTGTGGAATTTTCTCTGTTTTTTTTTACGCATCCGGTGGATCTCGACGCCTTCTTGACCGCTACGCAGACGCGACGCCTATGGACCTCAATCTGGCATTCAATCTTTTATCTTTATACTAAATATATTCACTGTCGCCAAAGTCGCGATCCGAGTTGACACAGCAATGTCGAACAATACCACATTAACGGTGCCACAGGTGAAAACGAGCACCTCAACAAGTATGCTTCCCATTCAAAACCCAATCATTTCCATTTCATTGTTAATCATAATCTTCTTATTGCTCCAGCCTCAAAGACGTCCTTCCACTTCGCTGCTGGTCTTTGTTCTGGCCTTACCTCCTCCATCCTCCTCCAACCCGCAGATTTACTCAAAACTCGAGTCCAGCAATCCCAGGGAGCAGCCCTCCTCCCAACTTTGAAAGCGATCATCTCCTCTCCGAACCCAATCCGTGGATTATGGCGAGGTACACTCCCTTCAGCGCTCCGCACCGGCTTCGGGTCGGCATTATACTTCACCAGTCTCAACGCATTGCGCCAAGCCGTTGCGCAAAGCAACCCAATGGCCCTAGCCAGTCCGGTAACAGCCGCCAGATCATCCTCCGTCCTCCCCAAACTCTCCAACACAGCCAATCTCGCTACGGGAGCCATCGCAAGAGTCACCGCAGGCTTCGTAATGATGCCCGTGACCGTGCTCAAGGTCCGTTATGAGTCAGATTACTACGCATATCGTAGCTTAGTAGGCGCAGGTCGGGATATCGTCCGCACTGAAGGCCTGCGTGGGCTCTTCGCAGGATTTGGCGCTACTGCTGCTCGTGACGCTCCCTATGCGGGCCTCTATGTTCTCTTCTACGAGCAATTGAAGCGACGGTTCGCTTTGGTAGCCGCAAAACCCTCTAATAATGGCGAGACACCAACTCCTGTTTCGTCCTCATCAATACACTTCGTCTCCGGTGGAGCGGCTGCCGGCATGGCGACTGCAATCACCAATCCTTTTGATGCCGTCAAGACCCGGTTGCAGCTGATGCCTGCCAAATACAAAAACATGGTGCATGCTACTCGCTTGATGATCCACGAGGATGGCATGCGCAGTCTATTTGGTGGACTTGGTCTCCGCATGGCTCGCAAGGCCATTAGCTCGGCGCTGGCATGGACTGTCTACGAGGAGCTTATCCTGCGCGCTGAGAGGCGGTGGGAGACGAATTCCCAGATGGGTCTTTAGGCTTGCATTATATCTGCCCTTGGCCGCCACTCTTACCACCCTCCATCCCCATTCCACTTTCTGTATTATAGTCCGTTCAGACCCCGCTATAGCTCGCATCCGGGTCCGTGCCCATGCGTGCATACCTGCATTGAGCTTGACCCAATGGGAGGTTTTAGACAGCGGACTGAAACCTGATATGTATATTATACTGTATCTCCACATGTGGCCTATCATATGATCGCCGACCTCAGCCTTTTCATTTACATTAGGGGTATCCCCCAGTCTAGCTGTACCAAGCACCTGTACCTGCGAGATGTTCGCCAAACCCGTAGAATACACAGGAGATGGTGGACTAGATTCATGGGGAAGGGTGAGGACGAATACGATTTGCACGGCGAGAGAGAAGTTGAAATCAAAATCAAATAATGTCATCAGCTCATATCGCGTTAATGTACTACCACATACTCTGTGATATAAAAAAAATCGAAACGAAACACATCTCAGCACAACATAAGCACATATCTCAACAAAAAAACAGTCCAATCAGACCGGGTCTCATAAAAAAATAAGGCAATAACAAGGTTCGAACAGAACATATACGTGAGTTCGAATTTCTTGTCCAAGCATCATCCTTATAATCAAGGCAGCGCAGGATGTAAGGCATTTATGTGAGAATGCGCACCCGACCTGAAGGGCTCTTCTTCCGGACCAGGAACATTCTGTCCTTTTTGTGGTCGTTGACTCTCAGTTCGGTCCTCGAGTGGGATGTCTCGGCGATGACATTGCCCTTGCGTAGGCGTAGGGTGTGGGCGAAGAGCTGATCTTGCAAGTCGTGGTCTATCCACTTTTTGATGATGATGTAGTTGCCGTCATTCTATGAAGATATTAGTCACCGTTGTATACATTTAGGGGACAATTCTTACCTCGTCAAAAGCCCAAGGAAGACCGTAGGCGATCAAGGTATCTGGCAGCAAGTGCTTGCGATGGACCTAGCATAGTGTTAGTTAAACCCCCTAGTACATAGAGAGAGTACTCCTTACCCTAATCCATGTGAGCTTGGTCTCTTCCTGCCTCTTCTCCTCCTCCTTCTTCTTCTCTTCTGCCTTCTTCTTTTCCTCTTCCTTCTTCTTCTCTTCTGCCTTCTTCTTCTCCTCTTCCTTCTTCTTCTCCTCATCCTTCTTATCCTTATTGATGATATTATCAATCTCCTTTTCGGAATAGCCAATGCTGCGAAGTCGGTCACGGAACTCCTTCGCCTGCCGCGCCGCCTCCTCGATCTGTCTTTTCTTAATCCGCTCTTGTTCAAGCTTCCACTCCTCAACAGCGGCAGCCTTCATAGCGATCTCCTTCTTCCGCTTCTCCTCGACCTCTCTCGCCTTTCGCATATCTTCCTCTCGAATCTGCCTAACGAGCTTTTCATGTTCCTCCTCCTCCTCCTTCTGCCTTGCAAGCTCCTTCCATTTCTCCTCCCGCATAAGCTTCTCCCTCTCCTCTTCTTCTTCCTTCTGCCTTGCAATCTCCTTCCACCTCTCCTCCCGCATGAGCTTCTCCCTCTGTCCTTTCTCATCCTGCATACGTGCAAGATCCTTCAACCTTTCCTCTTCCAGTCTGTGTCTAATCTCCTCTTTCTCAGCAGCAGTTCTCTTGTCCGCCGCATACTTCTTGAGCTGATAGCGCTCCTCAGCCTTGCGTTCCTCCTCCGCGGATTGTTGTTTGCGCTCAAGCCGCTGCAGCTTACGCAGTCGCTCCGAAAGTTCTTCCTCATAAAGTTCGGCCTCCTCCCTGATCAGCCGAGACTCACGCGGATCGGCCGGTGGATTCACAATAAGCTGCTGGCGCTCATGCGAGCTGCGATCACGAGACTTCTGCAGCTGTCGCTGCAGCCGTTCGATCTCCTGTTGATGCTTCCAGAGATCCAAATCCTGCCGGAGATTATCGCGCTCCATGATTTGCTGGGTCATATCCTGCCGGATGTCGTTGTGACTCAACAGTTGCTGGCTCATAGCCAGCTCGTGGTCACGGTGAAAGGGGGAGGGCTCACGCGAGGCGGCGGTGCTGACGGCGCGGGGGCGCCCACGGCGGGCTGGGAGGGCCGGCGCATCGTCTTCATCATCGAAGCGGCTGATGCGCTGGTTGTGGTTGTGGGTGTGATCGTCCTTGAATTTCTGGTGCACCCGTCGAGAATGGGGCTTGTTCTCCGCGCGACTCTCTGACTGCAGCCCTTGCTCGTTGAAAATCATCACCGCTGGCGGTGCTGGCGGTGCTGGTGGTACTAGTGGCTCGCGGCGTCGGCCGCTTGTCGAGGCCGACCGGACTATGCGGGTCTGGGTTGGTGCTAGGAACTGAGTGACTTCCGGGCGGCGGTGGCGAGAGATAGAGCGCTGGCGAATATGGGTTCTGACACCCGGTCGATGGAGGGAGACATCGGTCTCGGAGTAATCCGAGTCCGAGGAATAATCATCGTACACTGCGTGTACGGGCATTTTGGCGGGGTTGTTGCGAAAAGTATTGGGGCAAGAATGATAATATAGATTGGGGCCCTGAAAGAGGGGCCTGAGCGGGGGTTATCAGGTGCAGGTGGCAGATGATAGGATAGACATCAAAGAGATAGAGAAGAAGTAAGCCGAAGAACAAAAACGGGCCAAAGTAGACGAAATTTGTATACGAGAAAGTGTGTGCTTATACTTGTCAGCCAAAGCGGGGGAGGGGCTGGGAAGAAAGGAAAAGAGAAAAAGAGGGAAGCCAGGCCTGGAGTACCTTATTTATTCAGCTGGGCGTCATGGGCGTCATTTTTAATTGGCACAACTCCAGGGTTGCAGTTCAGCCTCATGGCGCATAATCTTTGCATTTGACTTGATAACATTATACTCTTATATACTCCTATATTCCATTCTATCGAGTCTTCATATACTATTTCCACCTTTCCTCTCTACGTTCTACACACACTTTCTCTCCAACCCCAACTCCAGTGGGATACAAAAGCATCATCAGGACCCACTTCAAGCCCACGAGATTAATGCTAACGCCCTCGGAAAATCTGGGCACTCTAATATTAATTCTCCTAGACCGCACATCGGGCCTTCCTGCTGCATAAACTTCCGAAATATGCAACCATGTCCTTCGTATACGCTACTTAAAATAGCCCACGATCGGATCCTTTTGAGCGAACTTTTTATGAGACGCCGAGAACGCATCTAAAAGACATAAGGCGGTTACTGACCCTACATTTTACGATCGAGTTCTTTTTCTGTGGGTAATCTTGTCGCTCGTGTCTTAAAAGTTGGATTCGAGTTTTGAGTCTACTTGGGGCCTTTCTACCTAATTCCGATAACTGACAGTGGAGATACGATTCATTGCAATGGGAGATTGGGCACCAACAGTGTGTGTTTCACATTTACCCATACTTGATCTATATCCATTTCAATTCACGGTAGTTCTGCGGGTGGGGCTTTTCTATCCATGGATCTTAGTTGCCGCTTTAGGGAGCGGGGGTCAGGCTGGTCATGACAGATGTCGGACTAGGGCTGCCCGCCTTAATAACTGCTTATATAAGGAGGGGTTGAGACCTCGGGAGGATGTGCTCAATTTTACTTGGCCAAAAAGCGGCGAGAACTGAACCTAAAATGGAAAGTTCAAACGTGATACGTTCCATGGAATGTGACGGTGAACCGGTGGACCAGATCGGGTGTTCCCGTAAGATGACCCATGGGCACCGGACTTCTGCACCAGACCTTCTTCATTCTATCTAGGTATGAGTTCATATTTGACAACTAGACTTCATGTATCTTATGCTCGAAAACCGGCATCTATGTATGTTGTGCACAGCTTACAATACCTGGCTGCATCATCCTGTTGACTAGAATCGAAAGCGATCAGGTATCGCTAGTGATTGTACACCTCCATGGTAACCTTTGGACTTGTTCTAGCCGCCTTATATCCAACCTACACATATAAGCGCCCCAACCCAAGCCACACCTGGAAGAAGCTACCTACAGAACAGCTATAGTGACCAAAAAAAGTATATTGGATGTCTATGTTGTATGAGTCGTACAAGGTATTTGGTCTTTCTCTAGTCCTGAGCCAGGGGAACCCTGTAAATGCGATAACAATGACAAGGATACCTTTATCGCCCACTCAGCGGTCAGTCCATGGCTTAATGCCAGTATCGCGAAGGAGCCACAATAAGCAAAGTATCACACTATACAACATACTTCGTATTGTAGTCATGTTCCACGAATTATGGGTCCGTAGTCCTTATTCCAGGAGATGAGTGGTCGTGTTGCCCAGATACACGTCATTTTAATATACGTAGTGGGGAAAATTGGCGTTGATGTAGCCTGAGCACTAAGATGACGGCAATGGCGTTGGTCTGGTAGCACACGAGAACCCTGAAATGTCCAATATTTAACATTACAACTTATATAGTTACAATTGTGTATAGTGTCATGACTAATCCCTTTCCCCTCCATTGAGCCCTTCCAAGCTCGGAAATTAGTTGTAGTTCCTGAAGTATAGTTTCGATTAGACTATCCTTGGCATATCAGCCCTGTCAGATTGGGGGTTTGGTGAGACACTATGAAAATATCAGGGTAACCTAGCTACCTATCTTGTATTTTTTGCATACATAATACTAGAGAGAGCGAGGATGAAGCAAATTTAACCGTGCTTTGCATTTGAGGACCCTTGCATCGTTGACAGTGACAGCTGCAGCGCAATCAGCTACCGCAGGCCCCACAATGCGCTTCTTGAGATGCAACTACGGAACATCTTAAAATTTGGGAGGTTGGCATCGATGCTACGTAATTATCACGATGGTCTTCTCTCGCTAGACGGCTGAAGATTAGTCAACTCTTAAATCCAGGTTTAGGCCTTGTCAGGGAAATCATAGAAGATGGAAGGGGTATATGCAAAGAGGTATCATGGCATGCTCTTTCTTCGCTTGATTCACCCAGGAAAGATATTTTTGCAAACAATGACCGGGTATCAAAGTCACCAGCTTGCAACCCAAGTATGTATAAGTCGCCAGAATATGACCAGGCCAGCCGGACATAGAAGGGCAAATGTTGGTACCCTCCCTGCATCTCCCCGGGGCAAAGTGTATCATATCCACTCATCAGCTTCGAGATGACGGTATCTTTTACCCATCCCATTTTCTCTATCCAACTTGTGTCGCAGGCCCACCCGGAAAGAAAAGACAGAGCAGAGCTAGCCTTATCCATTCCTTCCCATTAAGATTCACATTCGCGAGGATCGCTGAACCTTTGGTATAAAGATACCACAATCAAGGATACCCGCCACATAGGAGCGCATCGCGTTCACGTCTTGCTCTCGTCTCATATTCTCATTTCAACATCTTGTTCATGCCCTCCCACCAGACTTGAGAATCTGCTCCAGGTTCTCCCGACTTTTTTGGTTTGTCATCTCGTGATATTGCAGCTTTTTCTCGAGGTTTGCGATCTCAGCGGTGGCCTCGCCGCTCTCACGCGTGAGGCGATTGTTGACTGTGCCGACGGGAACGTTGACGAACCTGGGAGAGGGTTATAAGTCAGTCTCAGTTTCACTGAAAATAGAGCGAATGGGTAATTTCCCCGACTGTCTCGCTGTTTCGAAATCGCAAAATTGAAAACAAGAAAAAGAGGAAATAAAAAAAGAAATAAAAAAAGACAGGTATGACAAAAAATGCTCACATTTTACCGACGCCCTCATAAACCTTCGTCTCGGAAGGCAACTCAGACAACTCCTTCGATGTAAGCTGTAGCATACGGATATCGCGCTGCTTGGCCGTCATATGAGCCTTGGTGATACTGATCTGCTGCTGCGAAGCAATCGCTCGGGCCTCAATCTCCTGAAGGAGCTGTATTTGTTGAAACACCATTAGCATTTGCATATATTCATTGGAAATGACATCTTCAATCGGAAACCAGAGAGAGACAAGAGGCTGAGTGAGACCGAATTGAATTGGCATACCACTTGCCCTGGCCATCTGCTCACAGTATCCGACCCAAAAATGCAAGCTTATTCAGCCTAAGACACACCTTTTGGAGAGCTTCGTTGGGAATCGACATCTTGGCTGTGGATGTTGTATCGGGGCTTGAATGTGGTTGAGGGGTAGGAGGGGTGCGGAGGAACGGGCGGAAGTGAAATTGTTTTGTTGTCGTGGACTCCGGATTAGTTATTTGAATTTCTCTTTGAAGTAAATATGTATCGACCGATTTCGCTTTTATTAAAACGGTCTCGCACGGGTGTCTCTGTGCAATGTCTTGATCAACGGAATCAATTCGACTTGCTCGGCGAGGCCGTTGGGGTCAAGGCGGTGGGAGAGCGGAGCGGTGGAGTATTGCCTGACTTAGGGCTCGAGGCATACGAGAGGTATACGAGAGATGTGTCAAGTTCCAGAGAAGAGCGTGGAGTTTGTGTTGGAAAAGGCAGAAAGACATGCACATTTGTCTCTGCTCTGTGTCTCTTTTGCCGAGAGGTTCTAACTAAATTGGGCTAAAATTGGCTTCAGCAATTCATATGGTGTGGACTTCTGTCTAGGAAGGGCGAGCTTAACATGAGCTCGATGCTATCCAGAGCTCCCTGGGCAAGAAAATAAAACTAAGCAGGCCTTTCAGCGTTTAAAAACCTCTTTGTTGGAAGCATCTATGGGTATTATGTATTATCCAGCACACGCAATTTTTACAACCATCAGACCCAATTAACAGATGTTTTGGACTTGGATGGATTCATTCAAAGTAAACAATCCTATGTCAGGTATTTATGCATAAAGAAATATAGTGTCTAGTATTCTGCTATAGAAAGGTAGACAAGTTGGAAAATCTAACACCCACAGAAACATGGGAAACAAGAAGGCCATATTGCGCCCTGGAATATGGAAACTGCACACAAATATCTCAAGTAGCGGTGTGATAGAGTGTGATAGAACAGAATATCAAGATATTCTATGCAACGTCACGAGATCCGGGACCTTGCAGGGAGAGACATCACTACCGTTTATAGCATGTAGGGGTGATCACCGAGAAGGTCCGTGTGGGTGCTAATCTAACTGAAATCGGTGCTAATAGACGCAGCATTTTACCTAAGTTTTAATAGCTTTCGAGAGAGAGAAATTTAAAACGGATATTTATTAAAAAGATCGCAATTCCCTCCAGTGCATCATTCCATCAACGTGAAAATATCAGAAATCTAAAGACCCTAAGTATCGAATCAATTTCCAGGTAGATTTGAAAATCAAATGAAAGCAAGACAAATACCAGATTGATTGGCATGACAGTAAGAAAAGTAAAAAGACCGAACCAAGGAGATTATTCCTGGACCCCATACGCCCCAAGCCCAAACTCCGTTTCCCACTGAGCTTTTTGTTTTGGAAAGCCCATCGGCATGGCCAACTCTTTCTCATGTTCTCGTCCAGGAGTACAGCAACAAAAAGTTGGTCAGCCCACATTCAATGACGCAGTAGACGTATGCAAGGCCTTTGAGATAG